AGTTCAACCCCCGTTTTTTTTGAAGTTTTAATATACTAAAACCTTCTCCTAAGTGTAATAATTTTTTGAATATCGTATCAAAATCGGTTCAACCAATTGCGAGATAATTGTGCACAAACATACACACTTACACACATACATACAGGTCAAGCTGAGAACCTCTTTTTTTGAAGTCGGTTAAAAAGGTATACATAGTGCTGCTGCCCAGTCTCTGTTGGAACCTTAGCCGGCTCTTACTAGTACGAAACTCTCGAGAAGAGGTGGTGACATGACAGACGTACTCTCAAATAGCTTTAGTGTGGGAGAGCCATGCTTCGGCATGAATGGGCCGGTTCGACCGGAGTGATACCACGGCCTCAAAGAAGACCGACGTGAAACAACGTTGTGTTGTGTTTCGTCGTGTTAGTGATGTTACCGGATGCCCAATTACCCCCCCCCCCTCCTTTCCCTAATCCCTGAACCCCCAACAATCCTCAAATTCCTAAAAGGCCGGTAACGCACTTGTAACGTTTCTGGTGTTGCAGGTGTCCATGGGCGACGCCGATTGATTACCATCAGGTGATCCATCTGCTCGTTTACCGGCTTATCCCAAAACCAAAAAACAAAATAGCAATTTAAAACTCCCTACAAAGAATAAACCTCTATCCTAACCTATACGAATCCGCAATAAATGTATGAATCATTAGAATCATGACGTAGTAGTGACGTCTACCCTTGTTATGTCATGTTCAAATGATCACTGCCAAGGTTGAACGCTACAAGAACCGGCCACCTGGCAGTGTTCAAATTGCACACTTGTATAATCAAGTTCTAAAATTACTTGGATGTATGAATAAGGTCATTATTTTAATCCCATTAACAGTTTGACTGCTGACAGAACAAACTGTTGAAGGTAAATCCTCCGCTATCGTAGCCCATACCTTGTCCCCCATGGCGTTCAAGGTGTTAAGTGGTATGTAGAGATGCAGATATTGTTATGTAACATAATGTCTCGTCTGGCAAAGGCTCTCGGGTTAAAATCCCGCGTCGGGAAAAGTATTACTTGGTTTTTATAAAAATTCTAATTAGTAGTAGCACTGGAATTGTGTCCGTTACATGGCAATAGGCTCACCTTCGATTACATGGGACTCATAACATAAATAGTGAAAAGTAAGTGTAATATTGAACAGTGGCATTAAATGCTGTAATGTGCACATGGATAAAAGGCGTAATGTTATTATTTTTACCCTACTGAAGGAAGGGTATTATTTTTTCTTCTTAGTAACACATGATTGCCAAGTTATAAAAAAGATATATGGAACATGAAACACGGCGTAGGTGGAAGTCATGTAATATGTTGTTATCTGATAGAATTCCGATACGCTTCTGCGCATTGCAGAGAGAGAGGATTGACCGACATTTTTATCTTCTAAGTTGCTCAAAGAACAAATAGCTTGTACCGTCGTACTCAGAATCAATTATACGGAGCCGCGGAGAACCTAACGGGTTACCGGGGCTACGGCTCGAAGTGTTAGGAGAAGGAACGGGGTGGTTTTTAGTCAGTAAGAGTCTGACACTCCCTCCCGCCTTCCCACGCGGGAGAAGTCATTCGATGATTTTCCCCGCTTAAAAAAAACTCAGAGTCAAATAAGGGTGTATTAACAGAGTTCTTAGTCATTGCTTTCCGAATAAATTGGTTACCAAGGAACACATTAAGCAAACATTAAATATATCTGAGTACGGCAGTAAGATTTGTAAAATATAGTTAAATAAATAGTTTACTTAAGTGTGAGAGAGCCATGCTTCGGCACGAATGGGCCGGCTCGACCATAGTGATACCACGACCGAGCAGAAAACCAACGTGAAATAACACTTGCGTGTGTTTCGTCGTGTGAGTGAGGTTACCGGAGGCCCAATTATCCCCTTTCCCAAACCCCGAATACCCAATAATCCTCATATTCCTGATTCCAAAAAGATCGGTAACGCACTTGTAACACCACTGGTGTTTCAGGTGTCCATGGGCGGCGCCGATTACCATAAGGTGATACGTCTGCGTGTTTACCGGCTTATTCCATAAAAAAAAAACAAATTTAGCTTAAACCAGGACCATTCTTGAAACTTTGGACTAAGATTGGTTACGTTTTCTACAGTGAATAACATATACCTTTTTATCCCCGAAGGGGTAGGCAGAGGTGCACACAGAAGTAACACCCACTTTTCACTATTCATGTTATGAGTCCCATGTAATAGGTGGTAGGGGTGAGCCTATTGCCATATACCGGGCACATTTCCAGAGTCCGTGCTACTACTGAGATTTAAAAAAAAACCCAGTTATACTTTGTCCGGCATCGCACTTGCGACCACTCGGCCAACGAGGCAGTACTGTGAATAAAATCATTTAAAATAAATGATTGTTAAAGCCAAAGTAGCCAATAGTAGTACTCATAACTATGAATCAAATAAACTTTTCAATCTACTTAAATCACCAAAATATGAGGTATTTGGCGATTTGCCATAATAGTAAATTTTGCAATAAAAGCGATCCATTAAATACAAACCATTTCAAATTTTATGTCTATTAAAATAGAACACAAAATCACTTGTAATATTTGTTAAGCGTGGGAACATGAACTAAGTTTAGATTGTTATAGCTAAATAAGTATTGTGCCTTTATTTAAACAGGTGACATGTTCAGAGTAAAACTGTCCTTTATGTGCATGCTAATATGTGTTTTAAGACAATGGACTAATGGTTATATTTCCGTGTATCTACAATATATTATAGTTCCAGTGTGGTTATAATTTTACTTTTTTTATAGTAAACATAACATAAACATTACGTCTTTTATCCCCGGAGGGGTAGGCAGAGGTGCACATTATACCACTGTATAATGTAACACCCACTTTGCACTATTTATGTTATTAGTCCCATGTAATAGGGGGTGAGCCTATTGCCATATCCCGGCCACATTTCCAGACTCCGTGCTGCTACTGAGAAGTTTTAAAAAACCCAGTAATAATTTGTCCGACCCGGGAATCGAACCCGAGACCCCTTTTCCGGCAGTCGCACTTGCGACCACTCGCCCAACGAGGCAGTCAAATTATTTTTTTATAGTCTTAACATTAAACTCGCATCAACCGCTTCATTTCTCTGCACTTCCCAATGGTTGACTGTAAGAGAATACCTTAAGGCATTAAGTCCGCCATTCACTGTATTTTGTGAAGAAGATAATAATAAATAAATAAAAATAAAATAAACTAGACTTCTTTGAGAAACTTCAATAAGGTTCCAGTATGCTGTAATTAGAAAATTCGTCTTGGCATTGTTAGTTAAGTGACGGTAAACTTATGAAATTAATATTTACCCTTATCAAAAGTATTCTAGAACAGTTCTTCAGTTCGACAGTCTACCGACTAGACTGACGAACCGTAGAGATAGAACTGCTCTACAGGAACAGGAATCTATGTCCGAACGTAGATTTATGTATTGGACAAAGTTCTTATTCAAATTCAGATTGTTTATTATCTTAAGAATTACAATATCTGTCTAACATTCAAGCAGTCTCAGTAAGTTATTATTATACAATACTTGTGTTGGGACTGACTCGCTTCCTTCTACTTATTATCCAGATTTCATTTGTTTTACGTATAACTTTCGTGAGCCCCTAGAGTGGCTTGAAATTAGTCGAGATCCTCGTCTAGCAGTTACGCGAGCAACCCGAAAAACATTATAATTAATCTTGATTTCAGTTTCAAAAAATTAGAGTAAATGGAAAAATTTGGTTTCGAAATAGGCGTAACTTAAACAATATTCTTTGTTCTTTCATTATAGGTACTTTTAGTGTCATTAAGCATTTTTACAAGTGGACACCTGAATTCTAAAAGAACATAAGTAGATAGTTTGTCGTCATAAATAAATTTCGATTCCATCAGGACACGAAATAGTAACATTATAGGTACAGTTTTTATAGATCCATTATAACTCTGAACTTTTCCCTCATTATAATTTGTACTTTATGTCAAACTTTCCTAATTTAGTAGATATTTCCATCTATTAGAAGTAAACAACCTGAAAAGTACTTTGAAAGTATAATTTAGGCTTTTATCTAAATTAAAGGAGATGGGACTAAAATAAGAATTGACTTAACTTAGTTAGTTAGTTTCATCAATTTCAGATTAGCTTAAAACTGCATCCCCCGTATATTAGGTACTATATATATATAGGTATACCGTATATTAGGTATAAGGAGTTAGCTACAGGTGGACTTATTTTGTATTGGTTTGTTTAAAGTTATGAAAGATGTATAAATATTGCAAAGGTGGAGAATGGCTATGAAATGGTGGTTAAAGTTTAGAAAAATTTATTCGCTTGTATGTATGTACGAACAGACTGATGGGTGAATGTGATTAAAATTAATGAAATTTGTGGGGCTTTAAGTTTCCTTTAGAAGAACCTTAATCCACGTGATAAAGGTGTGTGGTAAAGGTGTTAGTGTACCTAAATAAAATCTGGACATTTGCCAGTGGCGTAACATAACCGTTCGGGGCCCGTGGCAATTTCATCGGATTTTTTTTAAGGGGGGAAAATCATTGAATGACTGCTCCCGCCTGGGTGAGGCGGGAGGGAGTGTCAGACTCTTACTGACTAAAAACCACCCCGTTCTTACTCCTGCACGTCGAGCCGGAGCCCCGGTTACCCGTTAGGTTCTCCGCGACAATTTCATCGGATAGGTCCCCGTTCCCAATAAAAAAACAGACAAGTTTAGATGAAAACCTATTAACTGGGGGCCCGTGGATGTTTGCCGACTTGCCACCCTGTACTTACGTCACTGACATTTGCATAACAATAGATACTTCATTCAATAATACCTTCGTTAAGCTCAAGAAAAGAATGAACTCCTTTTTAAAATTCCGAAAACGTACTATGTACCGGGCGCCATTTGCCGCAATAAAAATCTTTCAAATCAGTTAGTACCTCTGTTTCAACCAAAAGTTTAATAATTATCATTTCTATGTCCCCAGTTGATGAAGAGGCTGCGTCAGGTGGTTGGCCAGCGAATGTTCGAGTTGATCATGAAAGCTACCTTCTACGGCCAGTTCGTCGCTGGCGAGGACCAAAACACCATCAAACCAACCATTGAGAGGTAATTGTTTCATCGGATTTTAATTTTAGGAAAGAAAGAGAGGAACGATATAAAAAAGTTTTAACGTTGTGGCTAAAAACAATAGAAAAATATTCAAAGTCAAAGTCAAAGTCAAAATCATGTATTTCAATTAGGCCAGAATGGCACTTTTGAACGTATTGTTTCTTGGATTGAATAATCTACACTTACGAACAAAGAAACGGGCCCCACTAATGTTTTACTTTTTCATTTCTTGATAAATATTTTCTAATATAAATATTTTATCCATTGGAAACTCATATCGCAATTGACTGCAATTGGCGCGGTGACTGGGCAACCGGCTGCCGCGCAACGTGAAGCGGGTTAGATTCCCGAACGCAGCAACTCTTTGTGTGTCCACAAATTATTGGTTCGGGTCTGGGTGTGATATTGTATGTTTGTAAACGCACCTACGAATTCCTAAAATACCAATATGAGGCGACGTTTTATAACAAAATGTATATATTTACTTTTAATGGAAGCATTTTGTTGAAAAACAAATAATTTAAAAAATAATTATAGTGGGTTCGATAAAATGAAAAAGGAGACGGTAGTGGCTCCGTTACTTTACTCCCAAGTGTAGTTTTTCAATGGTCTTGTAAAGATGAATTAATATTCAGTCACCATCCGTCGAGGTAGTCCTGGTACCAGGGTACTAGTAAATACAAGGAGGTTGTAATAAACGAAAAACGGTGTATGTTTCCGACGAGTTTGAGTCTTCTAATACAGGCATTATTTACTTAACTGTAGGCTCTTGTCACCACAATATGTAAATAAAATAAATAATCTTAATATCTATGTAGCAATAAATTATTGTTTGTCATTTTGTTTTTTTTCCTTAGTGATGAGCTTACTGTGTATTATACAAAACAAACTATACAATTTTACGAGTTGAAATGCAATTAATAATATCGTGTGAGCAATGACAGTAATAGCTCCTTTATTGCTTACTGTCATAAAATTGTAATATTAGCAATATAGATTATAATATAGATTTTAATTGAATGCGTAATGAGTACTTTTTTCTATCGTATGAAATTGTCATTTGTCGAAACCTGATGTAATAGCACGCTTAAAGTTATAATTGAAAGGGATAAGCAGAGATGTGTAGCTGTCATTTTTATATGGAAAAATATTTTCTTCTCGGTTTGTGAAATTGTCTGATTCAAACGCAACAAAGCACCAAACTGTAACTAAGAATTTTCTAACCAGCCAGCACGTCGATTATGACTGATAAAGACTCTGTACTACAAAACCGTTGTGATATACGATAGTATCGATTAATTCGATATTCATCACTTGTTAAAAGAAAACATCTCATCAGCCGCTTCAAGTGAAAGCCGCAATGTAATGCGAATATTTTGTTTTTCTCAAATTTGGTATTACCCGGTATTATTGAGGGTATTAAACTTAAAATAATAGTTTTTAAATTAATTACGCATAATATTAATCACAAAATTACTTACCTATGGAAGGAAACGTTTACATGCTGACAGTGATGAAGGCATCCTTGTTCCATGTTTGTCACTTTAGTGAAATAATATAATTTTTTTTTCGATATTTCCAGATTGCGTTCTTTTGGAGTGAAGTCCATCTTGGATTACTCCGTGGAAGAGGACTTGTCACAGGAGGAGGCGGAGAAGCGAGAAGTGAGGTAAATGAACTTTACTTGTTTACAACTAAAAAGTACCTACTGAACTGAGTGTGATTTGATTTGCTTTATTTCATACTAGCTACTTCCGCGTTTTCACTCGCTCTGCTCGGCGCCTATTAATCGTAGCGTAATATTTTATAGCCTATAGCCTTCCTCGATAAATGGGCTGAAAGAATTTTTCAAATCGGACCAGTAGTTTCGGAGATTAGCGCGTTCAAACAAACAAAAAAACAAACTCTTCAGCTTTATAATATTAGTATAGATAAAGTATTTATTGAGTTAGTATTTACTTAGTATTTTGATTTCCTGTATTTAAGTAAGTATAAAATAAAGCAAATAATTTATTATAATAATGAATTAATAAGGTAAATAAACCCGTAAATAGTAACTTGTAACAGCGTTTAAAAACAGATTAATTTGACGTCAGAAACTCAAAGAGATCGAAATAATATAAGTTTATTTAGATTAATCTTTTTAATTTGATCGTAAAAGGAAAATTCTTCAAAATAGAAGATCGTAAATACTGGTAAAAAACATAGAATGATACTGACATGCAATTTGACATTTAATAAAGGGGAATCAAAATGTTTTTTTTTAAATGAGTGTTCATTTTTGGGGTGAATAACCGTAAAATCAATAGCTTTCTACGATTTTCGTGTGCTTCGACATATTTTGCATACGTATCGGGGTTCTGTAAACATTCGTGATTGCGTGATGTGAACACAATTAGCATTTTTATTTCTTGAAATATTTACCTACAGATATTTTATCGGAACCTATTTTATGGGATTGTTAAACATGTTCGAGTAGTCCCCAGTCGAAAAAATAGAAGAAAATGTTTTTCGAACGGGATTCATAAATTCGATATTTGTAACTTGTGATGTGATGGTGATGTGATGGCCGGCGCCAATGAACCAACCAATCAGAGCCCCGAACGCGTACTCGTTTCGAATACTTTAAACGTAAATGAGACTCGTACTAAGGCCTTTGGTTAAAAATGGAACCGAGTCCTCTATGGTCCCAGGACAAGCAATCTAGACATTGCGATTACGTAGATATTTTAATTATAAGTCGGAAATCTATTAATGCGATTTAAGAGTTAGCGACCGATTTCCGACGAGTCTAACTACAGCCTGGCTACGGAGATTACATAGTCAAAGTCAAAGTCAAAATTATTTATTTCAACTAGCTTTTACCCGCGGCTTCGCTCGCGTCACAAAAAGATAAAACGTAGCCTATGTGACTACCCATCCCTTCACCTACCTTCAGTTGAAAAATCACGTTAAGTACCTTCGTTTTGCCATTTAAGACAGGCAAAAAAACAAACAGCTGTTCGCTTGCGTGGAATTCGGTTATAACGCGCGTTTTAGATTTTTCCGTGGGAATGAGAAATTTTGCCGCGGTAAAGCCTTGCTTTTCCAGGACTCAAACTACCTTTATACCAAATTTCTTCAAAATCGATTCAGCCGCGTGAAAGAACAGAAGAAGTTATTTTCGCATTACCACAAATACCTCCTCCCATTTTAATTTAAAAGACTTCTATTTCCTATAAGGGTTATATTTGCAATGCTAAACCAAAACTGAGTGGTAAACTATATTATAGGTACGTTTTATTATCGAAAACCTAACTACTTTAGACATTTACTTAGAAATAAACCACTTCACTAATCTAACCTAACTAATATAGCTACTGTATCAATCAACGTAAACAATGAACAAAGCGTCTTAGAACGACGAAAAAAAATTACTATAGTACTTTAAATACTATTATCTACCTAGAAAAAATAACACTTGACTAATCAAACCTACATAGCGAACAAATAATAAGACTAATCAAAATAAGCGCTAGATGCGTACACTAATTATAGCTGATACGGAAGCTCGGAACCTATACTTTCACCGGTAACGAAACCATAGCGCCATCTAACTCGATCCTAACGCCATCTATCGAGCGTTGAAACAACAGCGTACAATATATTTCAATTGTTGAGTATTGTTGCCACTATGGTTTCGTGTACCTTTAACAACCTATAAAATAAAATCTATAAAATACGCAACTTAATGTAAAATGGTTGGAACCAAAATTTAAAAGCGAAGAATACTTAAAAAACACGTTACCCCGTTTTACAAACACTCAGCGCACTCTATCGCCAAGTAGCGTAACTACTACATTAGTAGCGTCACTAATTTTGTGTACCTTTAACAACCTAAAATCTATAAAATACGCAATTTAATGTAAAATGGTTAAAACCAAAATTTAAAAGCGAAAAGTACTTAAAAAATAGCGTAACTACTACATAGACACCAATTTCATGTACCTTCAACAACCTAAAAGTTATAAAATACACAATTCAATGTAAAATGGTAGGAACCAAAATTTAAAAGCGATAAAAGTACTTTAAAAGCACAACGATACCCCATTTTATAAACACCCAGCGCCATCTATCGCCAAGTAGCGTAACTACTACACAACGTTACCACGTGTTTTTTAAGTATTTTTACATATAAAATAGCAAATAAATGAGTCGAAAAGCGCACTGAATAAGTGTAGATTAACACCAAATAAGCGCTATAGATTAAAGCGTGAAATTTCCAATTAGTAGGTAATTCGTTGAATTGTTTTAGATGGCACAAAGCGCCATCTACAGGAATACACACAGCGCCATCTATACTAATATTTTTGTTTTCCCTCGGGAATATCACATTTTTCCGGAATAAAAAGTGCCCTATTATTTAATCTGGACTTCTAACTTTACGTCTGCAAAATTTCAAAGCAATCGGTGTAGTAGTTATGGCGTGAAGGTGGAACAAACAAACAAACAAACAAACTCACTTTCAGATTTATAATATTAGTAAGGAGTAAGGATTAGACCAGGAAGGCACTTTTGAACGTCAACAATAATTTGAAGTGAAGCTAGTTGCTCATTCCAAGGTGTAGATTTCTTTGGAGAAGAACGAGCAAAAAACTCCATAGGTTACTCTTTTTCAATTAGGTTTACAATACAATTCTATAGTTACATAGTTTTATTGGTTCGATTCGACAAACGGTGAAGGAAAACATCGTGAGGAAACCTGGGCTTATAATTTTTAATTATAAGTTTGTAATCGCCAACCCGCATTGAGCAAGCGTGGTGATTAATGCTAAAACCTTCTCCGTGTAAGACGAGGCTTTGCTCAGCAGGTTGTTGTTGATGATGATGATGATGATGATGATGATTGGTTCGTTTTTAAATTAACTACCGAGAGACAAACTAAATTAAGTAAAAACGCAGTTACGCGCACGCTGCTCATGAGGAAGAACCCCTCTGTGGTTCGAAACTAGTAGAGCTTTTCTCAGTATATTCACGTGAGTAATCCGCGTTTTTACTTTACTTAATGATTGGTTCGATTGTGTGAGAAAAATGCATCACCTAAATCCAGTCAAAGAGTAATAATCTACTATGAAATCTTTTACACCAAATACAAGCATACAGTAAAGTAATGACTCTATTCATACATATGTTAGCAATGTCTAAGACACACGTAGCTTAGTTAGCTACAGATTTAATTACCTGCTTCTAAAACTAATTATTGTCTCAGTTAATGAGGAGCACCAACTAAATTACTTGCTTTTGTTTCAAGCAATAATTGTGTCTATTCTCTTTGTATCTACAAAACGTGTCATATAATCCGTCAGGGATAAAACGTAATTGTCTTTTGAGTAATAAAAATTACCAATCGCCTCCAAGATGGAAATGGGGTGGATAAAGGAAATTTTGCGATATGTATTATACCAAAATATATTAATAAATCTTCATCTGAATAATAATTTATAGCTTTAAATGTTGTTAAGCATATCTACAATTGAAGAACCATTAATGACCGATGTAGCTTATGTCGGAAATCTGGGAAAAAAGCATCCAAGCGAAACTAAGATGGGTCAATGCGAGCTAAATCTATTACATATAATTATGTAGGTATTGTTTATATAAACAAAATTTGAGTGCCTTTTTGCAATATTGAAATAACCGCTTGAACTACATTCATACATAGATACATACACCAAAATAACATATTTTTACAATTTTTGTCTCCTGTCTGTTTGTTCTGACTAATCTCTGAAAGGGCTGGACCGATTTTGACGAGACTTTCATTGGCAAGTAGCTAATGTACTAAGGAGTAATTTAGGCTACTTTTTCCATGCGGACGAAGTCATGAGTACAGCTAGTACGTAAATAACGTACATATAATATCGTGCGAATCGTTAATTATGTACATTTATGCTTATGTACTACAATTTCTCCGTATATCGGTTACGACCTTTTCCATTATGTATGACGTATGTATCTCGCATGGCAACCGCTTCAAGGCGAAGATCAAGTGCAAGTTGAACATAATGATTTCAGGCCCATTATGGCCTTATTACAAAAGGGGGAAATAGGAAATACGTGCATAGATTATTCAATTATTCTGATGTTATAAGATTATATGGTGTTGTAGAAATATTATGTAGGTGCATTTTGGAAATATTGAATTATTTATTTTTAACTAGCGACCCGCTCCAGCTTCGCACGGGTGCAATATGCATGTATTATACATACAAACCTTCCTTAAGAATCACTCTATCTATTAAAAAAAACCGCATCAAAATCCGTTGCGTAGTTTTAAAGATCTAAGCATACATAAGGACAGACAGACGTGGATTGCGACTTTGTTTTATACTGTGTAGTGATGAAAGGATAAATGTGAATAGATTATTGTTTTACCAAGATATTTGAGTATTTAATTAGTTTGTATTATAACTTTCGTGAGACATACTAAATATATTATTATGTTTTCGGCTTACTCACGTAATTATTTGACGAGGAACTCGACTAGTTTCAAGCCATGCTAGAGGCTCATATTCATGAGCAGCATTTCGCGACCCGCGACGCGGCGGTTGTCGCGCTGCTACTGCCAGTAATTACGTAAGTGAGCCGAAAACATAATAATATATTTAATTAGTTCTTTAAACTATAAATTCGATAGGATCTATTATCTTATTTTCCGTCATTCGTTTTTATTTCGTTCGTAACTAGAATTTCAATAAGGCATAATGGAGTGTGCCTTGGCTTGCGTGCTCGTCATGAAATACCAAAGTAAATCTCTTGTCTTTGTTGTGGTAATGTCCAACCTTCTGCAACAATGTTCTAGTTGTAAATATAGCCATCACGTGTAGACAAACGTATGTGCGTAGCTGACTTTTGTCAAAATCGTTTTGGACTTAATTTCTTTGCTAATTAAGAGTAATTTTCGTTTAACGTCTTTGTTGGCACATAATGGTTTGTGCTTTTTTTTTACTCAAACGTCTTAATTATGGCCTCACATAGATAAATAGAGCGTCAAAAATTTCAGTAAGCAAATAGCAAGCTATCATTTTAAACGTACTTTTTTAATAATACCTTTTTATAAACAATTTTCCCTCTATTTAATGTTATTACAGTGACAGTTCACTGAGTAAGAATCCCTTCTACATAGTTTTTTAATTTTTCTTATTACTTTATTTTAATCATATCGTCTCTTTCAGTGGCAGTTTACCGAGTGAGCACTTAACAGAATTATTAAAACATGGCCCAAGCAAATTAGAAGAGCTCGTCTTTGCCGGGTTTTATTTTTTTTCTTTATCATTTTACTTACGTTTAGCATGACGAAAATATCTGTGGTCCAAGGTCGGTGTCACTCATTTGACAGCTGACAGCCACGGTATTCTCGACCTGTCATAGCCTCATTATGTAACTGTAATATGACGTCGGTAACACACGTATGACGTAGTTCATTATGGTTTGACCTTCAAGTTAGATTTTCATTGTTGTTTCTTTACTTTTTTATTACATTTTAGTTCGATTGTTTTTGATATTGATTTTAGTTAGATGGAAAACGTATAAACTTATCAACTGTACTTTCATCTATGATACTAGTAGTTAGATAGAAGTAAATAGATTGGGGCTGGATGGTTGAGTCTGAGTCTGAATAGACTAATAAAGTACTGACTAGTTTGTATAATATACTTTACTTTTTACCCAATTCCTATATATACCTAGCTAAAAACAATCTTCAATAATAAACGGGTTCAACTAAATTGGATACTCCCTGATATAAATATTTCTAGTAATAGGATCACTTAGGCGGCTTTAAAAGCACTGCTTAACCAGATTAAATTAACATTTAACTTTTTTTAATGGTCTTTACTTAGTGTCCAGCGACGGTTAGTGACTAGGGGTGTAAGCGATATAGTCGATGTAATTACAAGTAGGTACGTGTGCATAAGGCTTCATTCGATTCATGTCGACAAATGAGAACTATCGTTACGTACGTCACTGGCTAATTTTGTGAATAGGTTTATTTAAAGTACGTATTATGCATAGTATATGTTTTAACGTCAAGTGTGGGAGAGCCATGCTTCGGCACGAATGGGGCGGGCTCGACCGGAGTGATACCACGGCCTCACAGAAATCCGACGTGAAGCAACGCTTGCGTTGTGTTTCGTCGTGTGAGTGAGGTTACCGGAGGACCAATTACCCTGCCCTTCCCCAATCTTCCCAATCCCTGAATCTCCAACGATTCTCAAACTCCTAATCCCCAAAAAGCCGGTAACGCACTTGTAACGCCTCTGGTGTTTCAGGTGTCCATGGGCGACGGCGATTGCTTACCATCAGGTGATCCGTCTGATCGTTTACCGGCTTATGCCATAAAAAAAACGTCGGTTTATGTTAACATTAATTTGTCAATAAGTAAGTAGGTAATGAATTAACGAAATGATCAGATGTAACTAGGAAATGTTTTTACTCAATACTCAATGCTTTACTGCTTTCCACATTTATTACTATATATGGCAAACGTAATTAGGACACAATGTGGACCCTGTCGGGCACGACAATATAAGTTTTGGTGAGCACACTTTGACATGTCATATATAAATATAAGTAACCTACAATAAAATCAATATCAAATGCAATACAAGATAAAAGTATAATTGAAATTGTAATATTTATTGATATTTATAAGTAGGAGTCATTTTTTAAATCTTAAACAATCAAAATTTTTAAGAACAAATTAGATTTCTTTAATCTAAAGTTAGTTTACAATTAATAAACAATTTTCGTAAACTACAAATGTAAACGTCATTAACCGTCTATCGACCTCGATAGTTGAAATAAACTCACCACACAAAACTGCAAAAAAACGCCTGTGATCTAGATAAAAACGACAGAGAAAGCGCAAACGAAAATAGCTTTCAATGAACTATTAACGTGACCTAGATATGTCAAGACTAGCGACCATGCAAATATTACATCGCTTCCGACAGTTCAATATACACCGTATTCTAACGCGATTAAGTTTATTTTTAATTGGATCAATCTAAATGAAGCTTGCCAATAATTTGACAGTGAAAGTGGATTTTGAGGAGATTATTTTTAAATGGACGATGTTAGTCATTTGTTTAAAATATAGGGCAATGTACGGAGCTGAAAATGACGAGTTATTTGGAGTGCTATTGTTACATAACAGACGAGGTATTTTTCTGTCTACTTCTTTGATGATATCTGATAAGTTTTTGAGGAATAAAGAATACAAAGTCAAGTGACTGGCTTATTATTGTCTTGATGATGAACAATCTAGTCATTCGGGCAGATTTGTCCAAATATACGAACGTTAAGAATTATCCAATTGCTTTTTTTTCCCTTTCACATAACACATAACATAACATAACATCACGCCTTTTATCCCCGAAGGGGTAGGCAGAGGTGTACATTATGCCGCTGTACAATGTAACACCCACTTTTCACTATTTATGTTATGAGTCCCATGGGGGTGAGCTTATTGCCATACACAGAGCACGATTCCAGACTCCGTGCTACCACTGAATTTTTTTGAAAAACCCAGTACCTTATACTTTGCTCGAACCGGTAATCAAACCCGAGACCCCTTGCCCGGTAGTCGCACTTGCGACCACTCGGCCAAAGAGGCAGATTTTTCCCTTTCGTGACAGAATATCTCAGAAATAGAAGTTTCTAGAACATTATTCAATAGCAACATCATAAATATTGGAATGGGTACTATTGTTATTTCGGTCACATAGCATTTGGCGAGCCATAATATCAAAGATATAGTTGCCTAGTCAGGACTCGTCTATAATTCTAGCGCACCAGTTTTAGAACCGAATATTGGAACAATACCTTGCTGTATAAAATCGACGTCGCCAATTCAAATTCAATACTATAAGGAAGTGGCTAAATAGATTGTAGCTTAGGTATCGTTTAAAGTTTTTGATGATCTAAGGTCGAATTTTCAAATTTCTATATGGTTTTATAGAAATTTGTGACAGGAGTGAAAGTGTCACAGGTTCGTTATGATAGCATATTATTTTATGACTCTTTTATGACAAATGCTATCATTTGTCATAGGTTTATTATGATATGAAATTCAAAGGTGCGATAAAAGAAGTGCGGTGAAATGAAGCGTCAGCTACTGGATCTACCGACTTTAGTCAATGACTTGAGATCATTCAAAGATGAGCTGAGTGATCTCAAAAAATGCCACGATTTTTCTAGTGGTAGGCTCGATGAGTTCGACACTCGACTTTTCAATCTAGAATCGAAGGTGTCAGAGTTTGATAAGCTCCAGGACACAGTCCTCTCACTGCAATCTGAGTTAGCCTCAGCAAAGCACGAGTTTACGTCTCAAGATCAGCGGTCCCGGTTAAATAACGTGGAGATCAAAGGAGTGCCCCTCAAGAAGGATGAGAATTTATTCTCAATCGTCGAAGCCATCGGCCGGAAAATCAAGCATAATTGTCCTAAGGCCCAGATTAATTACATCTCTAGGGTGCCTATACAAAACTCTAAGGAGAAATTAGTAATAGTGAGCTTTCTGAATAGGTATGTAAAGGAGGACTTTGTTGCGGCTGCGCGGGCAGATAAGGACCTATCTACATCGGATTTAGGTTTCCAAGGAGCACCACAGCGTGTTTATGTGAATGACCACTTAAGCGTCGAATCTAAAAAACTTTTAAGTAAAACCAAAAACATTGCTAAAGAGAAACGTTATGAATTTGTGTGGGTTAAATATGGCAAAATTCATGTACGCAAAAACGTTAATTGTAGAACCTTTATAGTTCGGAAAGAACAGGATTTAAACAAAATTGTATAAACCGCTACATAAGAACATGTCATTTTTTAAATTTATGTTATACTTTTAAAATCGATCAATGTCTAATAATTGTTTTTTGTAAAAGGTTTTGCACCTCTGCTTCGCTGATGAGTTTCTTTTGTTCTCGACATCGCGCTGTTTGTGTTGGGGATCTGATTCATAGCTATATATCTGACTCGCTTGCACTTACGCTCCTGATGTATTGCTGCTTACTTGCTCACTTAGTAATGTCATACGTAATATCGGATGATTTGCAAACTTTTGCTACTTTAATTTACATTTACCCACTTTTCACATATTTATTTCTGTCTTCCGTAATTAATAGATATTTTTATTTTGTAATGCATTGGCCAGTCGTTTTTTGTTATAGTGAAACTTGTGCCGTTATTGTTGCACATTTTAACTATGGTTGATAACAATGAACAGCGACTGACTGTTTACTACCAGAACGTACGGGGATTGCGAACGAAAACGGACTCGTTCTATCGTCAGGTTTTATTAAATTCTTACGATGTTATTGTTCTGGTGGAGACGTGGCTAGTCGATGGTGTGTTGAACTCAGAGTTGTTTGATGACCGGTATATAGTGTGGCGCCGTGACCGGGATTGTGCTGTGACCGGACAATCGCGTGGTGGTGGTGTGTTGGTCGCGACGCGTAGGGAATTACCCGTTACCCAGGAACCGTTCCTCCACTCTTCAGCAGAAGACCTTTGGATTAGCATACGATTTAAAAAGTCAAACACACGAGATTTCGTAACCTGTACGTTTTGCTGTTTATTTATGTAAACAAAACAACGGTTTTTCGTTCTCGAATCAACTTAACAATTTTTTTACTAAATTAAACCAAACTACCTTAAATCATTCTTCCGATGTGTTTCTTATTGTAGGTGACTTTAATATGAGTGGAATTTCGTGGACTTCATCCACTAATAATTCGCTAATCCCAGTGAACCCTACCACTAGCGACGAATGTATGCTCGCCGATGAGTTATGCACTCTGGGTCTTCAACAATACAATGGAGTGACTAATAGGTATGGGAAATTGTTGGATTTGGTCCTCTCAGATAAATTAGCCTGTGTTACTGAGTGCTTGGACCCGCTGGTCGCTATTGATCCCTATCATCCCGCCTTGTTAGTTGATATCGACTTGTTTGAAATGCCTTCTTTGGACCATGCACCGCGGCTAAGATATGTTTATAGCAGAGCCGATTTTGTATCTATTAACAAAGAAATTCTTGCAGTGAATTGGGAACAACAGTTTTCGTCTCGATCTCTAGACGGCTCAGTTTCGTACTTTATGGATACTATAAAGGAATTACGAAATAAGTATATACCACATAAGCTTGTCCGTAATAGTAGTTACCCCATCTGGTTTAGTAAATCGCTCATTGGAACTATCAAGGAAAAATACAAATATCTTAAAAAATTCAAGACTTATGGTAATAAATCCGACGAATTATCTTATAAACACTTGCGGGAAAGAGTCAAGACTATGGAAGCCTCATGCTATAACTGTTACCTTAATCAAACTGAAACATCTATTAAGAATAACCCTAAACATTTTTGGACATTTGTTAAAAATCGTTGCAACTCGAACGCTATGCCTAGTACACTAAAATACAATAATGAATTATTACTCACTGGTGATTCTATTTGTGAGGCTTTTTCCTCTTATTTCCATTCCACTTTTCTCGAGCCCGGTCAACGCCTATGCCCTATACAGCCCCTGTTTCCTCCTCAAATACTACTGTATCTCCCTCTAATATTTCCAACATTGAAATCAAAATTGATGTTGTGACCAACCTACTCCGCAGTTTAGACCCATCCAAAGGAGCTGGTCCTGATAAAATATCTTCTAAATTCCTTATTAAATGTGCTACTTCTATTGCATTACCTATCTCTATTCTGTTTTCCAAATCCTTGTCTCAAGGTGTTGTCCCCAGAGTGTGGAAATCTGCGTTTATTACACCGGTCTATAAGAAGGGGTCTAAAACTGAAGTTACTAACTATAGGCCCATATCTAAATTGTGCATTATTGCTAAATTATTTGAGCGTATTATTTATAATCAGTTATACCTGCTCTTGCACCTTCGCTTGGCTCCTTCCAGCATGGTTTTTTGAGGGGACGGTCTACAACTTCTAATCTGATTTTGTTTAATGATTTTATTACTAAAGCTATGGATGATGGTAGCCAGGTCGATGTGGTTTACACTGATTATAGCAAAGCATTCGATCGTATTGATCACGACACTTTGATCAAGAAGCTAAACTCTATAGGTATTCATGGGGACCTCTTGAGGTGGTTCTCCTCATATATCAATAATAGATCGCAGGCTGTAGTGATCAATAATTATATATCTAGTTGGGTCTCAGTGCTAGCGGAGTGCCTCAAGGTTCGTTACTTGGGCCCTTCTTATTTGTGATCTATGTGAACGACATCGATCTGTGCCTTCGATCATCCAAATTACTGTGTTTCGCCGATGACATGAAAATCTTTGCCAAAATATCATCGGTCGAAGATGAATTGGCACTTCAGCTGATCTACATCGTCTTGAAGTCTACTGTAGGGCTAATAAACTCGATCTGAATCCATCTAAGTGCTCAGTAATTACTTACACTAGGAAACGTGCCGCTCTAGTCAACACCTACATCTTATCGGGCCAGACTTTGCCAAGGTGTGATACCATCCGTGACTTAGGTGTTCATCAAGATAGCAAATTAGTTTTTGACACCCACGTTGACACTATTATCAAAAAAGCCACTAAATTGCTTGGGTTTATTATGCGTCTCTCTAAGTGCTTTAATAACGCCAAAACACTAAAATTTTGTATTGCACCTTTGTTAGAAGTCAGCTTGAGTATGCGTCTCAGATATGGAACCCACGTTACCATAAGTACATCGACCGCATAGAAAACATCCAAAGACGTTTCATTAAATATCTCTGTTTTCATCAAAAAATTCCATATCACCCTGTCGATTATCTTCGACTCTGTAAGAAATATCATTTATTACCTCTCAAAGATCGACGTGAGATTGCCGACTTTTTGTACGTATTAAAAATCTTAAATAACAATATTGACAGCCCCGAACTTCTATCTAAATTTCACTTTAATGTACCACAAAAAATATTCCGCAATAACCCACCCTTACGTGTGCCTCTAGCATCAACAAATTACAGACAGAATAGTTTTATTATACGAGCGGGTAGACAGTTCAATAATATATGTAAGCAGTATGACTTTGATCCCTTTGCGACTAGCGTGGCGTCGGCCAGAAGGCGCATGAGCCTCAGGTTTTTTAAGTAGCATCTCAATTGTATCCCTAGTTTTCGGAAATGTTTATATTATTTTTATCTTTCACTTATTCTTGTAACTAAAAGTTTCTATTTAATATTAGTTTCTAGTTGATCCTTGCAATTAACTGGTATAATAAACTGTACAATTTTAATAAGCTGTAACCACTGCGAAAATTGTGATATGCTCACCTAACAAATTTAAGTCTGTCACTATACGTGAGGACTTGTAATTGGCTTTCAGTAGTTTATGTTCTATTTTTTATGTAGTTTTAGCTGTAAGTCCTCCAGGGTGTAATAAATAAATAAATAATAAATAAATAAATAAATTATCTATAATTCATAGATAATTTATCGCACCTTTGAATTTAAAACAGTATTAAACGAAAATATTCGTGAATTGAGGTAATGCCATCTAATTATTTTAGAATGTTCAAATTATGAAAATTTCGATTTATAACGGTTTTATTTAATGGTGTGTTGTGTCTAAGATAAATATCATAAAACCAGTTAGAACAAATTTCCTAATATGTTATTTATTGACTATCATATAGCCGTATAGTCGATGTAGGCCGACTGCCAGAGACATCGATCTGAGACGTAACGTCTGACAGAATGTAATTAAACACTTTATGAGTCATCAATGTAAAAGTGCCATTGTGTTTTATAATAGCTATGAATGTCATACAACGCACTTTAGATACATACGTGTATGGGGAGTTATTTTTTGTCCAAGTGACGGTTGAAAAATAAAGTATTAAATGAATTGATTTTAGGATAATTCATATGTTTTTCAGTTTACGTAACCCTTTGACGAGGAATTCGACTAGTTTCAAGTCATTCCAAAGGCTCATATTTATGAGCAACATTCCGCAAGGCACGACGCGACGCGGCGGCTGTCGCGCTGCTACTGATTTTAGGTTTATTATTTTTTGGAAAACTGTTGAGCAGGTCTTGAGTTAGATTCCAGGATTGAGCATTATTGAGGGGTTTTATAAAAAAATCTGAATTGACACGAGTCTAGGATTGAAATGGGAAAGGCAGTAGGCCCTTGTAATGGGACAAGCCCGCCACAACCTGACAAAACCGTTGCAGCACCTGTAAGCCAGGATCTACAGTAGATACAACCATGAAAACACCGGAACACTGAAGTCCGGCGCGTCCCAAGGGCATGAATAACTGTCTTAGTTCCCGCAACGAAATAAAGGCAGTCGGCCCATTTTTTTTTTTTTTAATGGGACAAGCCCGCCACAACCTCCCAAAACCGCTGCAACTCCTGTAAGCCAGGATCTACAGTAGATACAACCATGAAAACACCGGAACATTGAAGTCCGGCGCGTCCCAGGGACATGAGTAACTGTCTTGGTTCCCGCAACGAAGTGAATCAGAAGATATTATAAGAGGAGAAGAAGAAAAAACTGTAGTTTCCACTTCCCTCGGTGAATTACTGCAGGAGACAGAATGAATTAAGCCTAAAGGCACAAAGAAAAGACTGTACAACTGGGTGAAGCCCAGTCGCCAAGCACCACGGAAATTTGACTAAAAAACTAATCATCGGCCCATTTCATTACATAAGGATCACCTCCTAACAACCACTTCAGACAGTACCTACGTAGTCGTGTAAAGATCATTAGATTGTATTTTGTTTTACCGGTGTCTACATAATACAGATTGTGGCGTATATGCGGTATGTGTAGCAAATTCCTGAGTTTGACCATGTGTATTATTAGCGAACAAGCGATTATGTATCCTATAGCTATGTTCATATGTTTTAAGGTTGAAATAAATAACATAATATCTAACGCCTGCTTGGCTGAGCCCTATGCCTATCACCGTCACGCATTACTATATATTTAATGAAAACAAACTCTATTACACATCTGTAAAGTTCAGTTTTCAGTAACATACAGTAATTTCATGCTCTTAGTAGTATTATTTTGTAGTCATTCTGAAAACAACCTTACTTATACCATTTAAATGTAATTTTCATTTACATTTAAATGAAACGTCGATTTGGATTAATGTTTCTACTCATTTTGAGAGTTTGAATTTCGAAATAAATTCTTCAATTTGTTCTAGTAGAAAAAGGACGGATATATTAGCCTATAGGGGCATCTCGTTTACACTGGAATGATTCCAACGCCTCATTACACGGGTCTTGATTGCAATTACCTGGTTCACTTAATTCTGATGTGGCCAGATTGTCCATTAAACCTGCTGGTTGATTAGAACCTAAAGTGCTATTAAGGTGATAATTACGGGGAGTTTCAGAAATGATATCATATGTTTTGACAAGACAATGAGGTAGCTTTCTTTGTCTAGGTATTGAGACTGTAGGAATATACCTATGAATAAATAGACCATAATTATTAAGATAGTGATTCATTTCGGTGAGTGTGCGTGGGAATTGCACAAACTTATTCCCCCTAGTCCATTTCACCACCGTACCACCAGACGAACGGCGGGGCGCCACCCTTATATGGTGGACATTCCACCCATTCGCACGAAGCGTTTCGCGTCAAGCTTCCTTATGCGAACCGCTGAGGAATGGAATTCCTTGCCAGAGTCTGTGTTTCCCGTCAAATATGACTTGGGTGTCTTCAAGTCCCGAGTGAACAGGTTGCTCATAGGTAGGCGTGCTCCATCGTCGGCCACATCATCGCTTACCACCAGGCGATGGTGGTCAAACGTCAACCGTCGACGTTGATTAAGTATAAAAAAAATTATCAAAAGGGTTTTCAATGCTCCGTGAAGTAGGAATATCTTTATACATTTAATTGAATAATAGATTTATACTCGTGTGTACCGTGAGAATATAAACTTGATTAAAATATATCACTTTGGAAGGAAAAATACAATTCTACCTTCAATAAACCATTCAAAGTACCAGCAAAATATATCCAAAACAATACCAAAATGGCTGTTCAGATCAAAGACTTTACCAATCCTCTCAAATTCCAGTGCTTCCATATCAGCATGCGGAGACAAGGAGGAGGAGGGCCAGCTTAAGCAGTACCACGTGGAGCAGAGGTTCGCTGACCGTCGGTACAAGGTCACCAGCGCCAGGACCTACTTCTACCTCAACGAGGCCTCTTGTGAAAAGAACATGGAGGCCTTCTTGAAGAGTATTGATGCTGTTGCTGGTGAGAATCACTTTATTATGGAGTTCATATAATACGGTAGTTGACAACTAGTCAAATTCAATACTTTCATCCAAACGTCAAAAACGATACTGGGGGCCAAGCACGAATAACTATCGCATTCGTATCGTAACAGTATCGAGCGAGTTAAGCGTTCTGATTGGTTGGTTCACTTGAGCCAGCCAATCAGAGCGCTGAACGCACTCTTGGCACTCTGTTCTATAAATTTTGTACGAAATACCATCTATCATCATCATCACACATCATCTTATTAGACATCATCTTATGAGGTCATCATATTTGGCCTTAAATGGCACACTTATATCTAAAAAATGCTAGAATAAATAAAAAATTAAGTACATCGGCAAATCAATGAATGAAAGTGTAACTATTTGTCAATATTTAACTCGTCGAGTACCGGTTTTATAGACACAATTAAAGAACAATAGGTCGCGGTCACCGGTGACCGCTTGGTGTTTGACAGTTTAATTGAACTGAAAAATCAAAATAATTTATTTTGACCCAGGAAACTACCCAATTATGTTTGTGCCCTCTCTCATGATAAGCATTGTTCCTTGGCTATAACGTATGCTATATTGAAGGTGTACCAGTACCTAAAATGGTTTTTTGGGTGGCTGCTCCAGTAAAGAAGTAAAGTTTAAGGTTATTTAAAAAAGTAATCCTTTTCTTCCATTTTTATTACTTACTTCAGAAGGAGTCTCTATTAATCCTTAAGAGAGAGAGAGGAGAATTCTTTATCCTGATGGAAAATGCGAAAACTAAATAAAAACTTGAATACCGTCGCGTCGTATGATAGAATTGTTGTTAAATTGTTTTTCTCTTGTTTTAGGCATCACCAAAAGCACAGGTCTGATGGCCGTCAAGCTGACAGCTCTCGGCAGGCCGCAGTTACTTGTAAGTACAGTTTGCATACATTCACTATTCTCTTCGTATTTCTGTTGCCCTGGTACCTCAAATAACGTATTGTACCATTCTTCTTCCAGCTACAATTGTCAGAAGTGATCATGCGCGCGCGTAACTACATGCAGCAGATCGGTGGAGGTACTGGCAATGTCCTGACCCACCATAAGACCATTGAGGACTTCCAGCGGTACTTCGGAGACCACAGCTCCAAGCCGGAGGTTCAGGAGTTCATGAAGAAGATCACCTCGGATAAGGAGGGGTGAGTTTGATGGATGTTCTTTTATTGTTGATTCTCCATGTCGATAGTTAGCGAGGTTGCTTAAGGGATATCTTAGGAAACCAAGGGGTCTCTTAAAGTAAAATTTGGCTGGCCATACACTATGTTTACAGAAGTTTATTTTGGAATGAAGTCCAATCAGATTGCAGGATCGCGATTTATTTTTTCGTTAGCTGATTTTATTTTGATGCTTTTGATAGGTGAATGTAGCTACAGTTGATATTTTCAGTGTGGTCCACATATTCCCGTGGGACCGGTCAGTGGCGACACCTTTTAACATTTGTAAGCGCTGTCTCGTAAATGTTGCTAGTTTGTACATATTACCTTTAAAAAAGGCCACCTTGATAGTCATCTCTCGCTCACATAGAATAAGAGAAAGTGAGAAGCAAATATTTCAAGTGATAAATATTTTCTTCTCGCTCGATTACTTACCATTAGTAGTAAAAGATAGGTATAATAAAGAAGTGATCATTTCTAATCTCCATATTAATTCGTCGGTTTTATTTTTGATGTGATGTCGTTCGTTGGTAGTTAGTTGGTAACATGTTGCTATACTTTGAGTCAATGTAGGCTTTTAACTTTTCCTACCATTCAATAACACTTGTTTTATACCATTATGACCAGAAAATTTGTCTAACAGTTAAATACATTAGTCATAACTTCAATAGCTAGTTTTTCAAATCCCTCATTGTCAATATCATTAAACAGAAATTATGATTGATACTTACCTTAAAGCCTATTCCAAAAATCGTCAACAATAGTCTGACAACACCCCTTCTATTCCAGAATCGTCCATTTGTTCCCCTGGTCGAACATTTTGGACGAGGACATGAACTTGTCCGATTCGTTCCGAGTTCCCGACCCTAAGACCGGTCAGATGCGTCGTCTGATCTCCCAGATCTCGCCCAAGGAGGAGGAGATGTTCCGAAACATGCTCCGAAGGCTGAACCACATCATCAAGATCGCCAACGACGCTGACGTCAGGATCATGATTGATGCGGAGCAGACGTACTTCCAGCCAGCGATATCTAGGATCTGCTTGGAGATGATGAGGAGATACAATAAAGTAAGTTCTAGAGTTTGATTGTTAAGTAATTATTTTGCCTAGAAATTGATGAAGATGTGATGTATCACATCTTCATCAATCATAGTATCATGTATGATGACGTGGATATAGAGAACATCATATTGCCGACTACTTGTTGCTCTTGCTGCCTGCTTGGCTCGTTGGCCGAGTGGTCGCAACTGCGACTACCGGGCAAGGGGTCTCGGGTTCGATTCCCGGGTCGGGTAAAGTAATACTGGGTTTTTAAAAAAATCTCAGTAGTAGCACGGAGTCTGGAAATGTGCCCGGTATATAGCAATAGGCTCACCCCCTATTACATGGGACTCATAACAAAAATTGTGAAAAATTGGGTGTTACTTCTGTGTGCACCTCTCCCTACCCCTTCGGGGATAAAAGGCGTGATGATATTATGTTGTTGCTCTTGTAAGATGGTTTAAATATCCATATTTTTTATAGTAAGTAGATTCTTCTAGAGAGGAAGCAGTTTTGTTTCTTTTACCCCTTCAAGTTGGTGCTGTCTTTCAAGAGCAGATTGATGATTCTAACTGCTAATCTTCTCCTTCTTTCCAGGATAAGTTCCTAGTGTTCAACACGTACCAGACGTACCTGAAGAACACATACCAGGAGATCCTGACTGACCTGGAGCAGGCGCAGCGACAGAACTTCTACTGGGGAGCCAAGCTCGTGCGCGGCGCGTATATTGAACAGGTATGCATGCCTAATGGCAGTTTTTGTTTCCCTCTTATCTTCCTATCAGTTGTCATTGAGTTTCGAATAAATGTCAGCAGTTTACGTCTCGCGACTTTCGTCTGCTCTAGATACCCTGCTAAGTATGACTTATAGTATTTGTTAGATTTGATAGATATTTAATTACTAGCTTTTACCCGCAGCTTCGCTCGAGTCACAAAAGGATAAAAAGTAGCCTATGTGACATATACCAATACACACAGCGCCATCTATACCAATTCTTTTGTTTTCCCTCGGGAATATCAACTTTTTCCGAGATAAAAAGTACCCTATTATTTAATCCGGACTTCTAACTTTACGTCTGCAAAATTTAAAAGCAATCGGTTTAGTAGTTATGGCGTGAAAGCGGAACAAACAAACAAACAAACAAACAAACTCACTTTCTGATTTATAATATTATATAGTAAGGATAAGGATTAGAGTCTATTATTTTTCTAAAGATTTGTTTACTGCATTTGGGGAACAACTGCGTGTTGTGTATTGGTGATTGTTAATATATGTGATTGACTTTTCTGTAACTTGCAGGAGCGCGCCCGTGCCGCTGCGATGGGCTACGACGACCCAACCTGCGAGAATGTGGAGGCCACCACCGTGTCCTTCCACAAGTGCCTCAAGGAGATCCTCAGCAGGGTCAAGGTGGGTCTCAAACAAACCTAGAATGTAAGACCTCATTGAAGAAACCATAAGTATGACCTGCGTATTCCATTGTTCAGACGCTAATGAATTTTGGTTAACGCAGTTCATATTTGCTGATTTCTAGAGATGTTTCTAACTAGTTACATCGTTTTGAATTGGTTTTGACGTCGATCCGGGCGATTGTAAACAGGACAAAAGCAATTTCCAGTTATCTGACGTAATTACAATGATATATAATAATACTAAAACGGTATTTGAAATCTTTTTCACTGAAAAGTTAATGCTCAAGTTTTGGAGGATATAATCTATTATGTACTGAACAGGGACCCAACAAGGAGCGCCTGGGTATAATGGTGGCGTCCCACAACGAGGATACAGTGCGGTACGCCATCCAACTCATGAAGGAGCACGACATCAAGCCGGAGGACAAGGTCGTCTGCTTCGGACAACTGCTCGGCATGTGCGACCATATCACCTTCCCGCTAGGTATGTAACTCATGGTATTATATCAATTTAAAATAAATCTATTTGTTTCGTCGTAGGTTGGATAAAATGAGAATGTTGATATCTGATCATGATACTGATGATACTGATCTGAAAGTACAGAATAATGACGATGATGCAAAAAGATTATTCTTGTTTCAATAGTATTTCTCATGTAGCCTTTTAGGATGATGTCTGCAGAACCGAATAAATTATTTAGGTTATAGGATTTTTGAGAGATCTTACATGCTAAAGTCTGGTAAGGTAGGATCATGATAGACTGTCGAAATTATTCTTTTCCTCCTTAAAAATATTAATATATTATACTATAGTTTACGTAACAATTTTCCATCATCTCTTTCCAGGTCAAGCCGGTTACTCCGCTTACAAATACGTACCATACGGCCCGGTCGTCGAGGTCCTGCCCTACCTCTCCCGGCGGGCGAACGAGAACCGAGGCTTCCTCAAGAAGATCAAGAAGGAGAAGAAACTCATTCTCAAAGAAATCGTCCGCCGAGTGGCTACCGGCCAAATGTTCTACAAACCTGTCGGGCACTATACGCCCGTGTAAATATACAACTTAAGTCCACGTGTTATAGTCTAATTTACTTTGCGGGATGTTGAGATGCCAATGTGACGCGGCGTGACTTGTGAGTAGATCTAGTCGCAATACATTTGATGCGTTATCGGGGATGTAAGAACGAATGGAGTTACTCGGTTGCGATTTATCGATATTTTTTGGTGGACGACTACATCACTATGAAGGCATGAACCGTTTTTCTTACACGTTAGGGTTAAGAAATGTCAATGATTATTTCAAATATCGATAAAATCGTATCGAGTTCCCCTGGTAGTAGTTTGTCTGTGATTGATTGTTGGTAATTCGGTTGTCTAGGATGAATATCCTTAAAACCTATTTCGAACAGATATTTCTAATAAGAACACAATGTTTGTGTAGGTAAATATTTAACTAATATAGGTAAATTAATCGAGTTTGATAAATGTAACTCAGGTATCGTAATCTTGTCATTAAAGTTAAAGAAGATGTAATTATTATCAATTAATTAAGTTTATTTATCAGGCTCTTTGAATACCAAACTGTTAAGCTTAGAAATGATCATTTGAAAGAGGTTTTACTATCGACAACAATGGCGGTTGTCAAATATTGGCGGGAAAATAGAAATGAATTTTAAAATGTCAATCATACAAGGTTATGAGTTAAAGAACTGTACATAAGTCAATAGAGCGCCCGGTGTGCTGAATAAAATAAAGGATCTGAAATTTAAACGCCAAAGTATATAAAACATACTGATTAAAGTGGATGAGGAATCATTCGTGTTATAATTAAAACAAATGTACTTACTCTCGTATCTTGTATCAATACTTAATGATAAACAAACAGGATTTGTAAATATTTGTCTTTAGTCAGTGTTGCCAGGAATCTCTATAAGGCATAAAAACTTGGCTTAAATCTACAAAATTAATTCAATATTACCAGTAAACAAAATGACTGATCTACAATGGCAACACTGACAACCATATTCATAAAAAGAACGAAGTAACAAAATCGGAAACAGTATTGATTGTATGCTTCTTACAGTATTTTTATTTATTAACGTATGTATATTATTATTTATCGACGCTTATAATTATAGTGTTAATATCGAACTTAGGTCGCTGTTTATAAATATGTAGGAAGTTAAAATATTTTAAAAATAATAATAATTGAGGAAAAAATCGTATGCGTTGCAGACATTTTGAATTTGAAACGAAGTTAGTTATGCAATGGAATATTGTTTAGAAGGTTCTACAAAATTGTTTTATCAATTATTTCTGTTCAAAATAATTCTTTTTTTAATAACATGAGATTTCGTGCGTGTCGTGTATAGGAACAATGCCGTAGTAATTCATCGTTTCGGCTCGCATTTATACAATATTTGTACTCAAATATTTTACAACAGAAACGTCCTTAGAAACTAGTCATTTCTACTAGTTTATTTAACAACTGTTTTATTTTATTAGGGCGATTAAATAATATGCATTTTGATGTTCCACGCGTACTTTTAATAAGTTTTTAATCATGTAATTTATTGTCGAATTAAGGTAAACCTGTTTTGTCTTGTGTGGGTTGCCGCAGTTAAAAATAAAGACGTCTTTGTTGCAGTTTTTGACTGTGTGTAACCCGCATTACAAATTATAGATGCGGTATGAAAAAAATGGTTTCCGAAATGATTCATTTTTGTATTTAATATGAGGAATAGTAGAATGGACATTGCATTATTCCGTCGATTGTTTTTGAATAGATATTTTGTACGTATTTGTATTTAACCGTAGTTGTGCTCAGTTCCTATTTAGGTACTTATCAAGTCTATGTTTGTCACACACGCCGACTTTTTTTTAGGCGCACGAAGCTAGATCTGTGTCGGTCCTAACTTTTTACAGAAAAAACAATATTTTGTTGATTTAGTATTAGTTCAATCAACGTGCATACATTTTAAAAATGTTATGTACGTTTATTTTAATCCTCGAATTGTGTTTTTTGTTTTTGTAAACGTTTATTTTGTCCACGATTTTTTATTTATTAATTTGTGAACTGTTTATAATTTTTTCCTTGCGCTAATTAATTATTATTGTGATGCTATTTTTAGATTATTTTACGGATAGACTTTTAATAAAGACAAACTTGTTTTGATATTTTTCTTTTATTTTTGGTTTCCTTTTTTCCTTTCCTTTTTTTTGATTGTGTGACGTGAGTGACTGGGGTAATCGTGACTAAGGAGGTTATTAAAAATAATTACACAATGTAACATGTGGACCGTTATTATGTATGGAAGTTAAAATAGATGCTACTGAATTTAGCACGCAATGTAGCAATGTCCACGAATAACAACCTATAACATAGGTGCATAATAATAGCTTCAGCATTATTTATATGTCAATTATATTGTATTCTACTTAATTTGGCAGTAAATTATATTTTGTCACATGTCCTCCAGAGCTTGCAAACGAAAAACGGTTTCTACTAGACTGAAAACTATTTGTTTAATGGTAACATTTTTGACACACGTCAATTTGACAGATAATAAACGGAATCGAATTATGAAAAAATCTGTATCGATTAATTTGTTAGATTGGATAAAAATCAATTGTTGCTGACAATAATAGTATGATATAATATGTGTTGTTAGTATTTTTATCCTTAAATTACGATTAAAGTAAAGGCGACGATGGTTTTTACAATCAACTAGAGTTTAAGGTCACTGAGCAGATGTTTCGAATAGTACCTTATAAAATCAGATGTGGGTGCATATTTGCTTGGCACACGACATCTGTATTATTTACTTCATCCTCATATCAACGAAACACAAGCTAGTTAATTTAGAACTAATTTTCCACCATGTGCGAGCTGTTTGCATTAAATTGCCTTCTTAACGACTTGATTGTAGAAATGATCCCTGCCGCTAGCGCTATATACTTGATATACTATTGTAATGAATGTAATGTACCCTGTTTCGTGGTCGTCAGAGACATGAATGTCAGTCTTAATTGGGAACTTGCTGAAGAACCACATATAGTTAGTGGTGAGTTGATGACACAAGGTTTTGAGGTTAGGGTTTACTAGAAAGAATTGGGGTTGCTATTTAACAAAATCGTTCTAAATAGCGTTCAGATATTAAACAAAAACTTTTTTTTTTATAGTTCTTGGATATATTACTTTCTTTTAAGATATATATGTAAAGTACATAATAATTATGTTGAAAATTTTTATCTTGTACAATTTGTTCTGTTTAATTTAAAACAATTCCTGTAAGTACTTGATGTTACACTATATGTGGCGTATCTCTGCATTCAAATATTTGTAGGCAATGTGAAGAAATCGAATTCCTAAATGACGACGATGTGACGGGGTCCTAGTCTTAGAATATTGAAAAATAAACATAACGTGTTAATGTTGACCTTTTTGTGTTTTATTTTTAACTAGCGACCCGCCCCGGCTTCGCACGTGTGCAATACGCAGGTATTATACATACAAACCTTCCTTAAGAATCAGTAGTTAGCGTAATTTTAAAGATCTAAGCATACATTGGGATAGACAGAGGGCGGATAACGACTTTGTTTTATACTATGTAATGACTAGAAGCTACCTAAGTAAGTACCTACCCAAACAAGTTTTTGAGTTCGAACCCTGAAACCGGCATATACACTCAAGTGTGTTGTTTCCGATTTAGGTACAGACGGCCACACATCAATTTACACAAAACCAGTTTATCCTGGTATTGCGTCGCATCATCTTTCCGAACATTTAACGTTCAGTTTATATTGGATGTAAAGCTCGATGTGTAGCCGTGTGAACTATATTTATGTGGTAGTCAACATAACTAGTGAAAAGTGGGTCCTTTATATTGAAGGAACATAACAAAATAGTCACAGTGAAGGACGACAACGACTGTTGTCGTCCTCAGTTTGCAATGCACTCGTGATACATTTGGTGTTGCAGGTTGTCAAAAAAAAAACAAAATAATTTATTTCAAAAGGAAGGTACTTTTGAACGTCACCAATAGAAATTTAAAAGTGAAGCTATTTGCTCATTCCAAGGTAGGGAGATTCCTATGGAGAAGAACGCGCAAGAAACTCCATAGGTGAAGTTATTTACGATAGCATACAAAACAGTTGGTAAGCTTAATTGTCATGAGGCGCGGAGGTCTTAACCAATTGCCGGGGCTCTGGCTCGAAGTGCAGAAGTGGGAACGGGCTCTCGCCTCAATCTGACGGGAGAAGTCATTGGATGATTTCTCTTCTAAATAAAGCATTATTGTCTTACTGATGCTGTAATTAAAGCCAGGAGAATGGAAAATGGATCTCTTATTTCTAATTGAAATGAAATTCAGTGTCAGTCAACAATCATTTTATTAATTCTCATATTTTCGTCGTAAACACAGCTTTATCCTAACACTCACATCCAACATCTTTACTTTATGCACATCCAAATAATATTGTCTGATCATTTAATGACATTTTGAGTTAATTATTTTATACAAAATAATATAAATATGATTGTTAATTTAAATTGGGAATAAAATTGAACAGTCATAAGGATGACTGTTCAATTTTGTTTCCAATTTTTTGTTTAAGGAACAAAAAATTAAAAAAAAACATACAATTGTCGTAATTAGATTAGGTACCTATTCCCTGAAACCAATTATAATAATCATGCTATTGTCTTTGGGTTATACTTCGTTTATATGATAAACGCTTATTGATGGAAGAGTTCTTAAAAGCACTGTTTTCAAACATCACTTTTGTATTCCTTAGCTAGAGTATAAGTATATGCAGTGTGTCCAGTAAATAGTGCACCATACTGTGAGGGGTGCCCGCCACAACCTCCCAAAACCGCTGCAACTCCTGTAAGCCAGGATCTACAATAGATACAACCATGAAAACACCGGAACACATGTAGCTGTCTTGGTTCCCGCAACGAAGTGAATCAGAAGATATTATAAGAGAAGAAGAAAAAACGATAGTTTCCACTTCCATCGGTGAATTACTGCAGGAGACAGAATGAATTAAGCCCAAAGGCACAAAGAAGAGACTAATAGGGTAGACGACTAATTTTTATTTTAATGTCCGTCTGATAGATTATTTAAAAACATTAGACACGTATTTTTTATTTTCTCACAGAAACGAATAGTTTCGAAGATATATTGATTTGAAATGTCGCGTGACGTCACTTCTCAGTACATTTTATACTAAGAAATGACGTTTTAGCCCCCACTCCTAAACTTTGATTCGTTTTATCTAAGTATTGTTTTATTATACGACAAAATAAAAAAATACGTGTCTAATATTTTTTCATTACCTAACTTACGGACTAATTATATTTTTAATTTTCATACCCTGTCATCATCCCCATTGGGTGAAGCCCAGTCGCCAAGAGTTCATTTAGTATATCTCACAGTTTTTAAACATTTGTAATGGGTTGGGTACCATCAACGTTATCATTCATCATCATCATTATCAACAGCCTATAAATGCCCACTGCTGAGCAAAGCCTCTTCTTACATGGAGAAGGTTTGAGGATTAATCACAACGCTTACTCAATGTGGGTTGGCGATTACAAACTTATAATTAGAAATTATAAGTCCAGGTTTCCTCACAATGTTGTCCTTCACCGATTGTCAGTGGTGTCTAGATAATCTTAAAAAGTACATATAACTCGGAAAAAGTCACATTGGTACTTGCCGTTGGTAGGTTTCGAACACGCACCCTCATGTATGAGAAGCAGACATCTCAAACCTCCGGGCCACCATGACATGCTATCATTAGTAACAGTGTAATTATTAAGTACATTAGATACCCCAGTAGGGCTGATGCCTGATACGGGGCCACGGTAACGGGTTGCTGGCGCTCCGGTTCGAAGAGCAGGAGTAGGAACGGGGGGGTTTTTAGTCAGTAAGAGTCTGACACTCCCTCTTGCCTAACCCAAGGCGGGAGAAGTTATTGGATGATTTTCCCCCCTCAAAAAAGTACATTAGATATCGTATAAACGCAGCATCCCAAAGTCCCACATTCAAATCCGATCAGTCTAGTAAACATTTCAACGTTTCTATCCTAAACATTTATAAAACATTGACTTTAGGTGAACAGTCAGTCAAGGTATAGGTAGGTATTAAAATAAAATATATTTTTATATAAAACTCAATAATCTTGGGTCCTTAGTTTTAGTGGGTTGAAGAGATGTGGCTTTGGAAGTAGGATAGATAGATAGATAGATTCTGTTAACTGTTCATGAATATTTTTTTACCAGTTTCATGTTGCTATTAGTTTCCAAGTTAACAAGCTGGTGGCAAATTATTATGTTGTTCTACCAACAATGATATTGAATCTTTTTCCAAAGTTATCATCAACTTCCAAAAGCCACAGTTAGCTAATGGCGTAAGATAATAGATATTTTGGGATGCATCAAACTTAGACTGAGTCATATAAAAATTATAATAAAGTTCTAATTAATTACACTATAGAATCATTGCGAAGACAATAGCTTTGAACATAATACTTTCTTACTTAAGTAAACGGTATCTCACGCCAACAGCAAAGTGAAAAAATATTTCTCAAGAAGTAGAAATGTAAATAGTTCTCACTCGTTCAAACAGTAGTGCTTGTGAAAGTAGACAATGTCTGTTAACAGTATATGTATAATATTATAATATTTTCAATAAACATCGTCCATAGTCACAACATATCGTCACCAGCGTCGAAAACGATGCTTACGTTACAGCAGCGACACGACGTCGAAAACGTTGTACACGTTACGCGATTGATGTGCAAATTGTTATTACGTTACACGTTACTCCAGCGACGTCGAACACGTTTTGCACGTTACTCCAGCGGCGTCGAAAACGGTTTAAACTATACTCCAGTGACGTTGACAACGCCGTTACTTCAGGGACGTCGAAAACGTTGTACACGTTACGCGATTGATGTGCAAATTGTTACTACGTTACACGTTACTCCAGCGACGTCGGACACGTTTTGCACGTTACTCCATCGACGTCGAAAACGGTTTAAACTATACTCCAGCGACGTCGACAACGATGTTACTTCAGGGACGTCGAAAACGTTGTACACGTTACTCCAGCGACGTCGAAAACGTTTTACACGTTACTCCAGCGACGTCGAAAACGTTTTACACGTTACTCCAGCGACGTCAAAAACGGTTTAAACTATACTCCAGCGACGTCGACCACGACGTTACGTCAGGGACGTCGAAAACGTACACGTTACTCCAGCGACGTCGAAAACGTTTTACAAGTTACTTCAGCGACGTTGACAACGTTATACACGTTACTCTAGCGACGTCGAAAACGTTTTACAAATTACTCCAGCGACGTCGAAATCGTTTTACACGTTCTCCAATGACGTCGAAATTGTTGTAGACGCAACTTCAATGTCGTCAAAAATAATGTAGATACACGTTACATCAGCGATATCAAAGATGTTACAGATGTAACTCCAGCAAATTCAAAAACGTTGTATACGTCGCACAAGCGCCGTTGACGTTTTACATGTTTCGCTAGTGATGTAAGAAACGTTCACGCCTGGTCAACGATAAAATTTTCAGTTCAGATTTCGCCAGCGACGTTAACTGATGACGTGGCACGCGACGTCACTGACGTCAGGCTCCTCGACGTCGTCTGACGTCGGTGCAAGAGCCGCCAGCTGCGTCGCTGTTGGTCTTCGCTAGGATCTCGGGCGATTTGTGTCCCCTGAGAAATAAAAAAAAGTTAGGGTATTATTCAATGTAGCTGTAAAAAATCCCTTAACAAATACTTAATGGAATAAAAAGCCTGTCGATAAATTCATTCATGTCTCACGGTAGTTCTTATTAGGAAGTAATTGGGAGAGCCCTATGCTCTGCAATGGACATCTTGTGACTAATATGACGATGGTGTTATGATGACAGTATTCGTGGTTGTAAAGGTTTCTTACCCCTGCGCAACCTAAGCTCCAGCATAGTATGTGTGACCAGTGCAGCTAGCAGGGCTGTCGCCAAGCCAGCCAGTTGTGCGCGCACACACAACATCTGACGTGCAATGCACGCCATTGCCATTCCTGAGTGCCGCGCTGCCAAGATTATGGACCACGCGCCTCGCCAACCTGGTCCACCGATGCAGATACCGGCCTGGAGAAAAAATTGATACAGATAAGCTAAATGACCATGTTTCATAATATCCTGCAAAATTATTTCTAAAAACGTGTTTCCAATTTATTATTTAATACAATTATTTCCAATTTCGGTAGGTTTTGGCCTTTATAACAGAATAACAAGTATTAACAGACACAAACACAAATACTCTGATCCAACATTGTTATTGTTGATAAAACAATTTGTAGATCACACAAATAGCTGTTCCGTGTTCTAAGTTTTCACGAATGTTAGCAGATACTTACCTGCAGTACATCCCAAAGAGCAGCACACGCACCCCAGGCCGCGGCTGCCAAGGCAGGCAGTGCTAAGTCCGTCTTAGCAGCCCTCCATCTCAGTAGCGCGAGCACCAGTGACGCATGGGCGGCGCCACCACCAGCTGCCAGCGCACCGCGCCTGCCTCGTGCTGCTGCCATGGACAGAGTCCCAGCAGCCAGCGCCTGGAGGACTCCCGTCCCGCAAAGCGATCGCCATGCACACCACCATCCGTCCACGCATACTCCGTACCACTAAAAAAGATAATTGATATCGTTTAATGTGTGCCTTGATCGAAACGTTTGTAGTTGGAGTCTGTTATTAAAAATGGTACCTTAATATATGACGTATAAATAAATCCCTGTTGGAGTCCTATGAATAGTCCCATGGGCATTCCAAGTATTGCCCGCGGATCTACAAAGACTGAGCGGGCGTCGGGGGGTGGTGCAGGAGCTGACGGCGCACCGTACACACCCATCCCGACAGACAACAGAGCTAGGAATGACCACATAGCGACCAGCAACATTCTGCCGTAGGCATCCAGCACTGTGCCTGATAAGGTCTGCATGTCTGGACAACCGGCAGATCCGCATGTCCGCTCCTGAAACCAATTAAACGGTGATGTTAGAGTGCAATTTGTAAAGAGGGTACTATGATTTAAAATGATCGTATCATACAATACAAGGAAATACTCACCTCATAATCATCTTCTAAGAAGTATTCCTCAGGGGGTGGCCACCTCGGCATAGTTATATTAGTTGGTACAGGAGTGGAAGGTTTAGAAATCTCTTCAGACCATATCAATAGGGCAAATCCTAGGAGTAGAGAACCGCATACAAGGCCTAAGTCCTGAGCTGCTCTAAGCGCTCTCAAAGCTCTTCTAAGGGCCACTTTTCTTCTGGCTTCATCGCCAGCTGCTTGTGCTAGGGAAGTTGCTGACGCTGACAATGCCAGGGACATTGGTGACAGCGTTACTCCACAGAGTCCGTACAACGCAAGGAGAACTGGAAGTGGTGTTTCTACTGTGTGAGCTGATAGCAGCACACATACAAGTGTGTGGGATATCGCAATCACTAATCTCGTGCCAGTCTTTTGGAGGATGAGGGGAGAGAAAGGAGCCACTACAGCTGCGGCTGTGTGCATGATTGATAGAGGCATGGCCCCTGCCTCGGCGCCAGCGAACGCTGTGAAAGGCAGTAGGGCAGTGGCACAGAGACCGCTGGAGATGCAGAGGAGAGTGAACCGGTTGACGAGTGGTTTGGGCAGCTTCGGTGGTTGTCGAGCAAGCAGTCTGCGGACAGAAGCTGCTCCTACTGAAGATGCAGCTGAATCCCGTCGTCGAGGTCCGATGCACGACCCCGCCACCCTGATTGGAGTTTTCTGCTTCTTCCAAGGCCATTCTTTCTTGTATATTGTGCTCACTGGAATCTGCACAAAAACGTAAAATTAGTGTTAAAATTTAATTTTCACGAAAATATTAAAGTTAAGCTATAAAGAGTTTGAAGATATTCTTTTATAACAATTATTTTGTGTTCCTTTACCGGTGTAATAATAGTCCGGTGCCGGTGCGGGTCGGACACGGTTCGCACGGCGGCACGTACGGGAGTCGGCCGCGAACGCTCCGTGAGGTCCGGTAGGCTGCCCATGCGCACGCACCGGCTACACACCGGCGGGCATACTATCCGGTTTCATACACTGAAATAAATCAAAGAAAATAATCAACTATTTCTTCGGACAGAAAATAAGCACCGGCATTCAACGTGGCAATGCTATCAGTCTTCCGGGAACGTTCCCCGGTGATAGTGATGCGGACGAGTACCTACTTTGACGTCTGAATTAAGAGTATAACTTTTGTATTATTTTTTTACTTTCTTTTTATTCAATACTTTAGTTGTAGTTAATTTTAAGTTGTCTAAATATTTATGTAGTTATGTATATTTATGTATATTTAATAATTAAGTAAAGGTATCAACTATTATTTAACTTTTAATTAATATTTTAATTGATAGATCCACATCCACATCTTGGACGTCACAATTCAATTGAAGAGAAAATGTCGAAGAGAAGAATCAGCGTATATGCTTAGCCGAGGTATTAAGGATGTTTTTTAATGGGGGAAAATCATCGTATCCCGCCTAGGTGAAGCGGGAGGGAGTGTCACACTCTTGCTGACTAAAAACCACCCCGTTTCTTCTCCTGCACGTTGAGCCGGAGCCTTGATAACCCGTTAGGTTCTCCGCGACCCGATTATGCATCAACCCTATTGGGCCCCGTCCCCCCTGTATTGGCATCCGTGGTGGTCTGATGGCTCTTTGAGGCGCGCGCGGAACTCGATGCGCCTTACACTCGGGTTTGGTTCTGGTCGGGCAGCGAGCCACCCATGCTCACAGTCCGCAGGCCCGCGCTTGCGGGGGCCGGAGATCGTCCTGCGATCCCCGACGACCGCTGCTGCCCCTGCTTCGCAAAAGTAGGATACGGCATCCCAGTACTCCTCGCTCCGCATCATGACCTGCACTAGGGCCGGACGCGAGATATAGGTATTAAGGATAGGACGATGGTTCATCCTATCAACTTCTTACCGTAATGTAACAAGATTGTGTACCAGAATCCTTGAATATTCCACACGATTCTATTACCGCTGTAGTCTCAGAAGCAATCAAAACTTTCCCTTAATTTTGATATCTTGTTATCCTTCATTGTTCGTGAATATTTTATGAATACAATTCCCACGGGTTCGGACCACAACTCGGTGGAATGACATTATGCATCGAATTGTGCATAATTTAAGTAGTTACAGTTTGTTTTCTTATTCAATCAGACTGTTTGGTTAAATAAATGTTTTCGTATATCGCAAGTTATAAAATAGAAAGAAAGAAAGGAAGAAAGATAAGATATTATTCTAAGATAGTAGAAGATCAATTACTCTAGCCCGTATTGTGTTTGGTGAATCTTTGTAATTTAATACATATTTCAGAAATTGCAATGAAGTTACTACTTAATTAAAAATTGAAATGTATTATGTTATAAGTGCCTGGACTTTTATATGTTAGTGAACTTAGACCATTGTCCAACAGATCAAAAATAAATGAGAGTTGTCATTGCATGCAGCCTTTTTTAAGGCAAAAACACGGAACTATTTCTAAAAGGTATCAGGAACTAAAGAACTCAGCTGCATGCAATGAGAACTCTCATTTATTTTTGATCTGCTGAACAATGATCAGCTAAGTTCACTAACATGACTTTTATTGCGTTCTCCCTAAATACATTTTTATACTCCTTTCGGATTTATACACCATGGCGAAATGGTCGATCATATTAACCCTTTGAGTACCGTCATTATAGACATATGTAATTTAACTGTCAAACACCAAGCGGTCACCGGTGACCGGTGTCTATAATGACGGTACTCAAAGGGTTAAAGAACAATAGGTTGCGGTCACCGGTGTCCTCGCGGTGTTTGACAATTTAAATTAACTATCTATGTCTAACTATTAAATGTCTATCATATTACCTCTAAATTCGTCAATCAGTGTTTGCATCAACCATTAAAAAACGTCTGAGACGAATTTTCACGATTATAATACCTTTTTAAGTTATGAGTATGCGGTTACCCTGACAAACACATAACCCGCTCCACATAAACGGGTAAAATTGTTTACATAACACCAAAGGGATGATCCCATTCATCTATACCTATCTAGAGGTACATACATAAATGTCGTATGTTTTGCCACTTCACCAAACATCTCGAGCGATTTACAAGAGCTCGCTCGCACCCGTAGTACCTACTCGAAAAGTTGAGGGTGAACCGTGAAGGAAGCAGGCGTTTCGGATACCAATTGAATTTTAATGGTGGCACGGTGTTGGAATTTAAGTGTGTTCATAAGTCAGGAAATATATTTTTAGAGCATTATAGTACCTATATGAAATGCAAAATAAATCTGGTGTATTATTTTATTTTCTTAATGTTCTTTAGATATTTTATAAATTTAGATACGAATAATATTGAATTTTTGATGTAATAAAATGTAAAAGAACAGGCCTTTATTCATTAGTTTAACAATACTTAATAAGATAGTTTTTTAAAGTAATATTTTAATTTAAAAAATAAGTTTGTCTACTTATTTGACACAAAAAATATGCAGTTATTGATGTCTCATAATAAACGATTAGACTGCCTAGTTGGCCGAATGGGCGAAAGTGCGAATACTGAGCAAGGGGTCGCAGGTTCGATTCCCGGGTCGGGCAAAGTATTACTGAGTTTTAAAAAAAATCTCAGTAGTAACACGGAGTCTGGATTTGTGCCCGGTATATTATTATGGAATTTGGCTCACCCCGTCTTACATGGGACTCATGACATAAATTGTGAAAAGTGGGTGTTGCATTGTACAGTGTCATAATGTGCACTTCTGCCTACCCCTTCGGGGATAAAAGGCGTAATGTTATGCTATGTTATGTAATAAATGATTTTCTAGAATGTTCTGGTCAGTTATCAGCGGTATGGTGTCAATGTCGGATCTTTTTATACATTTGTGTGATTTCGGTGTAACTTAAATATGTCATGTGTATAATCTATGTAATTGGTGATCATATCTAATAACTATACGTATAGTTAATAAAAAACTATGTATTTTCTAAAAGCCTATTAATCTGTAAGTGCACTGATGTATTACTGGGTTTTAAAAAAAAAAGTAGTAGTAGCACGGAGTCTGGAATTGTGCCGGGTATATGGCAATAGACTCAGCCCCCTATTACATGGGACTCATAACATAAATAGTAAAAAGTGGGTGTTACATTGTACAGTGGCATTAAGGGCCGTAAGTGTGCACCTCTGCCTACACTTCGGGGATAAAAGGCGTGATGTTATGTTACGTGGACTGATGACCTATTGTGTTAATTCTCGTGAAGTGTCGTTGGTGAGAAAATTATTCAGATTTTGTAAGTACCTAGTAGTTTAGTTTCCTAAATACTTGAATATTGTTTTAGTTATTGAAAGGGTGACCTTAGGCTTGTTCTATTGTTTGTTTGCTGAATTCTATTTACTGGTTAAAGTTATGTAATTATTATTGGTTCGAAGGCCGTGTTGCTTTACATTTGTATAAAAAATGAGACCGATTTATGTCATAACTTTTAACGATTTGTTTTGAGCAATATTAATGATGACCTATGGAAGAAATATAAAATGTTCAAATACCTACTCAAACGCTACTCAATTTTAAGTCGTGCTTAAATATAGTCCTATCACTATAAATTGATCGCGGGATGATCTCCGGCCACCGTAAGCGCGGGCCTGCGGACGGCGAGCATGGGTGGCTCGCCGCCCGACTAGAACCAGACCCGAGCGTACGCGCGCGCCTCAAAGAGCCATCAGACCACAACGGATGGGTCCCAACAGGGCCGATGCCGATACGGAGCCGCGGAGAACCTAACGGGTTACCGGGGCTCCGGCTCGACGTGCAGGAGAAGGAACGGGGTGGTTTTAGTCAATAACAATCTGACACTTCCTCCCCGCCTTGAAAAAAATCACTATAACTTCCTTGTAAAATGACAGAGATGACACGATATTTAAGGGCCACTTAATATTAAGTCGCCTTTCAGTATGTGCATGAAAGTCTCGTTAAGTAAGGTGCCGATACAATAAACGACGAAGAAAACAAAACAAAATATATGGTACAGGACTTTAATCTAGATAACAAGCAGTTTGATACAGTAGACTGCCTCGTTGACCGAGTGGTCGCAAGTGCGACTGCCGGGCAAGGGGTATCGAGTTCGATTCCCGGGTCGGGTAAAGTATTACTGTTTTTTTTTTTATAAATTCTCAGTAGTAGCACGAAGTCTGGGGCAATAGGCTCAACCCCTATTACATGGGACTCATAACATAAATAGTGAAAAGTGGGTGTTACATTGTATAGTGGCATAATGTGCACCTCTGCCTAGCCTACCCCTTCGGGGATAAAAGGCGTGATGTTGTGTTATGTTAAGCAGTTTGATTTGTCACCATAGCACAAAACTGGTAGCATAATGCTGAAAAACGTCTCTGTTTTTCAGTGTTCTGAATACTGTGTTTAATTAATTACACTAATACACAATATACATAATTATTATATGATTTATGCACCGTAACTAATAGGAGTTGATCGTTTCAAATATTTCCAAAATCAACCCACAACCATTTTACCTATATGATAATTTAAAACCAAAACCTTCATAATATAATCTATAACACAGTTTTAATTTGTTAGCTTAATCTGTACAATGATTTAATAACTAAAACCGATTCTAACATCCACTTAATAGAGCATACAATTAACTAGCAACATTCTGTAAGAGAAACATCATATAATATTAGTGCAAACAGTTTAGTGGCTCAGGGGATAAAGTGATCGCTCACTAGATGTTGTTCCTAATCTGAGTGCTTGAGTGCTCACAAAGTCCTATGCAAACAGGCTACTTTCGCGATCGATTTCAAACGTTTGAGAACATCTGTGTTACCTTCTTTGTATTGGACGAAGATTATGTATTGTGTGTTGTTCGTAAAAGGAACGTGTTTTGCGATTTAAATATTGTGAATGTAAGGTTAGTAAAAGAGATTAGAGGCCGATTTTTCCATTTTCCTACTCAACTGATGATTGAAAACTCATGCCTTGTTCGCATGCTGCTAGTATTTTAGTCGACTTGCGAATATTTAGTATTTT